CCGAGAGGGATGTTGTTGGAACCCGTGATTCCCTGGTTTCTCCACGACATGTTGATTGCTACGCGATAACAATGGTATGTCGCAAAGAGGTGATGTGGTGTGATGGCGAATGGGGATTGTGATTGCGATGAAGGAGGAGGGAACTTTTATATGGAACCGAGTTTAGCGTGGACCTGCGGAGATGGAAACCATGTCCGGAGCACTGGCTGACCTTGACCGGCTGCGACTGGTGCCAGCTGCAAGTCTTGGCAACGGCGAGGCAGGTGGGGCCACCACGTGATAGGGAGTCAAAGTTTTTAGAGCGAACTCACTCAACTCTTCACTCACAGTCACCCGCCGCCTAAGAACGATAAAACCAGCAGAAGGAAAAGCAAGAATGAAGGAAGTCTGCAAAAACAGATAGTGTCAAAAAGGCAAAAAGATGTGATCAGTGGGAGGCTTGAACTCCCGACCTTGGCATTACCAGACACACCAGATGATGTATTAGTACCACGCTCTAACCAACTGAGCTAACCGACCTGATTCGGCTCATTGGAGCTTGGATAGGCAGCTCAATTCTGGCGTCTTGTAGCGGGGCCTAGGCCGCGCGATCCGGCTCAAGTGTCGGTCTCGTTGGGTTGAGTCTCTCATCTCAGTCATGATCTTGGGATGATGGAGATGAGACGGATTGTTTCCCGACTAGTTAATTAGAATAATTAGCATGCCCTGTTCACCTCTTGTTGTATCTCACACTCACCTCAGCCTGCTAACCCAGTCTCAACTGGTCTCCATATCTCTCATCACTAGCACTAGCAGACGTCACATTACTTAAAACATCAAGCGCTTGAATGAATTACTTTTTACGAGGTATCTACGCCCTATTTCTTGGCAGCATCCTCCTGCATGCCCTTCAGGATCCACGCGCTGGCACCCTTGGCCTGCTCATCGAGCTCCTCGTCCGTCTTGCTGTAGTGCTCCAGCGCCTTGTGAGGCGAGGGGACGTGACGTCCCGCCTCGAAACCGGGACGCTCGACGAGCTTCCACAGCCACGCCTTCAGCGCGGGGAACTCCTCGAGGTCGATGCCAGCCCACTTGGCGGCCGCGACCCAGCCCCAGCACGCCATGTCGGCGATGGTCACCCGGTCGCCGACGAGGTAGCCGTGGGGGTTCGCCTTGAGCTGGGTGTCCATGGTGCGGTACAGGCGGCGGGTCTCGTTGGTGTAGCGGTCGATGCCGTACTGGATCTTCTCGGGAGCGTAGCCTGGGGAGTGGTCAGCCTTTCTTTCGGGATAATCTGTGACGTGCAGCAGCAACTCACGCTTGAAGTGGTTGGCCTGTCCCTGCATGGGTCCGAGACCACCCATCTGCCAGTGCAGCTGCATCACATTAGCTCAATTCTCTCAATCGACCCGCCTCAAACATACCCAGTTGTTCACCTCCCAGTACTCGCGAGATCCGTACGGGTAGGAGACCTTGTGGTCCTTGTCGTAGCGGTCGACGAGGTACTGCATGATGCTTCCGCTCTCGAACAGACGGATGGACTTGCCATCCTCAAAGGTGTCGGTCAACGCGGGGATGCGGCCATTGGGGTTGATCTCGAGGAACCAGGGCTCCTTCTGGGTGTTCTTGGAAATATCAATGGCGGTGGTCTTGTAGTCCAGGCCAAGCTCCTCCAGCAGAATGGAGACCTTGATACCGTTGGGCGTGCCCATGGTGTACAGGTGGATATCGGTCTTGGTCTTGGCAGCCATGTTGAATACTTGTTTACTCAACTGTCCCAGTCGGGTCGTCATGAATGGGTGCAATGAATTAAGGTAAGTGGGCAAATTTCGCAAGAGAAGCACGAGATGTCGTCAGAACAGGGTGTCGAAGATGGTTCAGTACAAACGGGAGAAGAAGTCGACGCCGAGGCCAGAGTTCCTAAATACTAATCCAGAGCTCATTGACCCCTCCCGTCGCCCGCATAGCTGTACAGCTGTTACCTTAATAATATGGGGTGGGAAAGACCCGCCAGGACCCCCGTGGAACAGCGCTGAAGCCATGCGGCAAGCACTGTTCCAATGTTGGGAAATGCTTCCGTCACAGTGACCCCTCCACCGCGCCCTTCTTCCGCGGGGCCATCCAGACGTGCTTAGAAATCACACACCCAAAGCCACTGCTGCAGCCCAGGCATCCCACCACAATGAAGCGATGGCGTCACTCCGCTCCAGTCCCCCGCGGGCGGTTCGCGTGCCGAACGAAGTGGGGCCAATTATAGAGCTCGGAGCTGCAGGCATGGAGCTGCGGCGTGTCCCAAACACGATAACTAAGCATCCCAACCTCACCTCACCTCGCCTGCTTGTATCGGTAAGCAAGAAGCTCTTCGCCGTCCGGCTCGGTGTCGAGTCGCGCCGGTCAGGAGTGCCGGCTCCGGGTCAGCAGATCAAGTCCGTGGGGCTCCGGCTCCCGTCAGCAGAACCTGCCTGTTGGGGTCATGTAGAGCCACGAAGGATGCGCTAGCATTCAGGAACCAAAGTCCCTTTGTGGTGTTTTCTCTCTTACCTTTCTTCTCATCGCCTCTGCGGTTTCGTCTCATGATACCCACGTGGCCTCGCGTGTGTGTTACGGACCTTGATGCAGGACCGTGGCTAACATACACCCACCTTTGTGTTACATATTTGTCTAGATGTGTGATCTAAAATCTCAACATCCCCCTGAGCCAACGACGTGGTTTTTTACACTCTACATTCACCCATCACATCACCAGGGACACAGACACCGGAGAACTGCTTCAACTGACACTACAATCTCATGCTTGTACTAACTGCTACTCAGGCTTACACTTCGATCCCGTTAACTCCATACTCCTCATTACCACAACGCTTGCGCCTATCCCGGCGACTCCTACACATCTTGTCGCTGGACCTGCTTCCACATGGAGAAACGCGTCGTCTCCATCATTGCTTCACATCCCCAAACATCTCTTTATCGATGGCCAAATGCTGATTCGCCCCAGCCTCTCTAGCAAATTGGCTTCGCTGCGCCGCACATCTGTTTTATACCGCCCCTGGCCCCGTCGACCAGTGCATGGACTGGGACCTTTGCCGCTACTGCTGAAGTCATTGTTGCTGCTGAGTTTGTTGTAGTTGCTGAGGCCCTTGCTCCTGTTGCTCCTGTTTCAGTTGCTGAGCCCATAGCTGTTGCTGCTGAGGCTGTTGCTGTTGCTGTTGTTGCTGAAGCTGTTGTTGCAGCTGCTGCAGTTGCTGCTGAGCCTGTTGAACTTGCTGCAAAGCCTCTTGCTGTTGCTGCTGCAGTTGCTGCCGAGCCTGTTGAACTTGCTGCGAAGCCTCTTGCTGTTGTTGCAACTGCTGAACCTGTAGTTGCAGCTGCCGCAGTTCCTGCTGAGCCTGTTGAAGTTCCTGAGACTCCTGCAGCTGCTGGGATTGTTGCTGCTGAGGCTGCTGTTGCAACTGCTGAACCTGTTGCTGCTGAGGCTGCTGTTGCTGACGTCCCTCGTATACAGGCTGCATCTGCGGGTCTAACGGCAGCTGGAATTGCATCGACAATCCCGACGCAGGTTGCGATGGAGTCTGACCTTGCCGACGCAATCTTGAAGCCACCCGTCTGCTGTATTGTCGAGGCGGCACTCCATTCCGCGACGAGCTTGGCCCTGCCTCATGGCCGTATTCGTGCCACACATAGCTGGGTCCCAGGCCGTCTTCCGAGAGCGTGCGTCGCATGTCGTCATTGCGCCGAACTTCCCAGCGGCCGTATCCCAAAGGCACGCATCTGACTCGGTCGTTGCCTGGAGAAGAAGTTGGATCCTTGCGCATATACTCTCGCATGCCGTTATTGAGCAACTGGAGTTCCCAGGGAAGGCATGCTGGACCGTGCTTGGAATGCCTCGTCCACTCGATTGGGGTGGGTGGCAGTTCATGATGACCCTTTGCGTACAGACAATACGAGGCCCGCACACTCATCGTCGCGATGTCTCGAGGTATACTTGGCGGCTGCCCACTGCGAGATTGTCAGCTAATAGATTATAGGGGTTTGTGGATTCAACATACCTCTTCAGTGCGGCACGGGCATTCCTCACAGTAAGTGCCCATGCCATATAATCGCAGAAATCAATGAAAAGATGCTTTTTCTGGGCATCGGGAATGTTGCCAGATCCTCGATCAATCCGTGCAGGGCCCCCGTTTATGGTCTGGGCCTTCGGGTTCATGTCCTGGTTCTCCCCATTCATGGTCTGGGCCTCCGCGTTTGTAATCTGAGGCTCCTCGTTAATGGTTTGGGGCTCCTCGTTCATGGTTTGGGTCTCCGCGTTCATGTCCTGGGCCTTCGCGTTTGTGATCTCTGGCTCCTGGTTGGTGTACTGTGCCACTGTGTCTTTCAGGGCCCGGATTTCCTCATTCATGGTCGTGGCCCCCGCGTTCACGAGCTCGGCATCCGCGTTCATGTTATGGCTCTGCTGATCCTGGGTGTTTGCGCTATCGAAAGGAAAGACAGCCGACGGGGGCTGCAAATCCGGTTGGAAAGGCTGGCCGGGCTGGTCAGTCTCCATCACCATAGGCTCCTCTGGGACAGCCGGGATCGGCCATTGAATCTGAGGCTGCTCGCCAGCTTGACCAGCAGCGCCAGGGCCGACCAGGGATGGGCTTGACTGCGGAGCTGGCTCGTCAATACTGCCGAGCCAGGCGTCTTGGCTTAACTGGTAATTGTGCCATTGGCTGGCTCCGACCGTGTAATCAAAGTCTGGGCTGGTTCCAAATGAGAGTGCGTCTGAGAGTGACTCCGCCCACTCGAGATCCCTCCTCATAAGGGTCGGAAGCATGAGGTTACCCGCATCCACGGATCTATCATTGAAAGGGTTGGAGTCCATCTTGCTTCTGTCGTGTGCAAGTCTGCGCGTAGAAGGTGAGGGTATGGAAGGATAAAATCAAATACTGAAAGAGATGCTCCAGATTAGACGAAGAGAGACAGTGCAACTATGGCGTTGGTGTGTGAGAGATGAAGATAGGTGGAAATAGGCCAGCAGAAATATGTGTAAGGCCAGGAGAGAAGAAGGAAAGGACGGAAGGGAAGGACGGAAGGGAAGGACAGAAGGAAAGGAAGGGGAGACAGGGAGGGGCAAGAAGGAAAAAGGAGGAAGCAACTCACTGTTTGGTACGTCGGCTCAACGCGTTACTTAACGAAAGAACTCGACAAGACTGACTCTTCACAGATGCAATCTTTTCCTCGATGTTTTCGACTCAGGGTCTCGGCTGCTCTCAAGCTTCGGTTTTGCGCGGTAAATCTCTCTTGACCACGGGCGTTCGCAGACAACCCACGGTAGACCAATGTCAGAAGACACAAGCACTTGGACGTCGATGAAAACTTGATATTTTCTGGACGAGTATTTGAAAAAGGTGCTGCTGGATGGATGGTGCAGAGGGAGAGGTTGGTCAAGAAGACGATGGGATAGCGGCTACTTATATTGTGATGGCAGGAACCGTAATCACCCAGCCAGCTTTTTGGCCCGCTCCTTCCCTCTTTGTCATTATGCTCAGAGTTCATACGGGCGAAGGCCTGACATGGCTAGCAAGGTCGCGGTACGCTGTCAGGTTCGGTGTGTATCTCCTTCAGACGAATCGGAGGACATCGGCCCAGCGCCAACTATCAAGTTGAGTCAGCCCAGTGGTTGTGGTATCGGTACTCGTCTGTTTTGTTGTGGGAAGCCCGTCTAGGTGCTCGCGAGGTCCAGAAGTCACAGGATGTACTTTTGATAAATTTGCTGAGAAAAAGGGCGTGGCGGAATCACTCAGGCAAGAGTCATATCAGAGAGAGCAGTGCCACTAGTCACGTATTCAGGGGAATATCAAAGAGCGTATTATCACCAAGTAGTCTCACACCAAATTTCCAACACTGGTTCCTGAACCACGGCTTGTCTGAGCCTTCCATGTGAATCTACTCTACAAGCCTCCCACGCATGTACCTCGACGCGACCTGCTGAGATCCATACTATGCTCATTTTCACCACAGCCACCTCTCAATACATGTTTTACACATCTCCCCGAAAATGTGACATGAACAAATCAAACTCTATTCAACTTGAGTGCTTGTTTGCCTTAGGAAAACAGTACTACCGGTCACTCGCACGTTGCAGTGTCGACCCCATATCAAGAAGTTTCTAAACTTAGACCAAGCCATCTATGTTCGGTGTGTCACAACCGACCGTTGCGAGCCATTGCCATTTTGTTTCTAAAACAAAAAATGGGGGAAAAGACACTTGTCGATGATATTTCGTGCCTTTTCGAATAATTCAAGGAACAGACGGATTATCGTATGACCGGAGATATAAGATGAGGCGCACGTTGGCTTGCACATAGTGGCGTACAGGTCGGCAGTTGAACCAGCTCAGCGGGCTACCGTATCACGCTCGACGCCGAACCCAAGTACATCTACGTACCAATGGCTTTCGTCTTTTTTTAGATCCTTATGCCACAAAGGTCAGAAAGCTTTCAAAAGGTCATGCGGGCTTTGCGTTGAAGTTACAAAGGTTACCAGAGCAGACAACACCTCCAGGTATCCTAAAATCTGGTCTAGAGCGCTCAATAGCTCCGTCGATTCTTGACGAAGACATCCTGAACAAGGGTCTACCGTTCTCCAGCGGGCCGATGGGAGATGATCGGGGAAGACGTTTTGCTTTCCTCATTCTGCAAACGTTATAAATATGGTGGACAGGTTATGCAGATATGCCATCTCCGACGTGGCTGAGATATGGACGCATAAGCTTCCTCTAAACACAGCCAGTAACATACACGGCTGCACAAAGCCACCGAGGCTGCTCGTACAGAAGTGGCCGAGATACGGTTGCCAAAGAGATGGGGCGTGGGGAGAACCGGCTACGTTACCCGCGAAGATCTGTCATATAGGTAGTTGGATGAACCCCACGACGAATTCGAGTACAATCAGCCTCAATGTGGGACCTGTGGCTTTGAGATCGATGTCTTCTCTTGTACTCTTGTAGCGTAGGTACTTGGATACTTGGAGGAATCAGAATCCACTTCGCCCTATCCTTCAGGGTTGTTTCGAGCTCTGATTCATCGCCTCAGCGCTGTAAATTCTCTGATTGGTCTGAAAAGGGGGATGGGATTCTCAACTCTCCAAGTACATACAGTATTCTGGAATATGAGTAGCAAGCACACGATTCCAGCCATCCACATGGCCTCTCCGCCACCGTGGCAACAGCCCTTATTCGGTGAAGGACCTATCCACTCACCAGGTGCCTGAGGTGCAGAATCGGACAGAGACTACGGGAAGCACGGAAAGAGCGAAAAAAGCGAACGTAGCAGGTCTCATTAGATTGATAACAGGAGCTGTTCCGATGTGCAAAAACCCCATCAAGGCCGTCCGTCCGCCGGCTTGGTCATCTGAACAACTTGAATAACCTTGATATAGATAAGAGGGAGGGAATCTACCCAGTACCAAATACATGTACATGTCGTTACACCGTCCTCTCGGCCTGATGCCGATCCATTAGATGCTTCTCAGGAAAATGCATGCTATGAACCCCTTCGTCCGAGTCAACTCAAACGTCCCATTGTCCTCATCTCGGGACTGGTTAAAAATACATACCCAGACTCCGGTACCCGCCAAACTCCATTTTTCCGTATTTCATTTCAAACTGCTGTCTGGAACGAGACGAGCCCGTCAAAACTTTGAGCTTTGCGCTCTGTGCTTCAAGGCTGCACCCGCAAGCCCACTGGCCTTCCCTCGTCGACAATCATCTGCTCGTCAATCCTCTTGCCGGTATCGCCCCATTCCACACGCTTCCACGTCAATATGCGGGCCTGGTTGGTGTCGACTTCGAAGACGCGTATTCGGCGATGGTAACCGCCGTAGCCGCCATAGCCACCAAAGCCGACGCCGCCGGCGTAGCACATCCACAGGGCAGGTTTGTTTTCCTTGTCAGTTGAGAGAGAGCAGTAGTCGTTCGCGTGGTCACTACATTTTGTTAGACACGTTTGCAGGGAGGAGACAAGAGACTTACTGTCCGCAGCTGACCATGACGACGCCCTGGTCGACGAGGGCGTCGCGGAAACCAGAGTTAAAGTTTGGTGCTGTCACACCCTCCCTCCATTCGCCCTTGATGGCGAGCTCTTGATCTCTGTACTCGGGAAGAGGGATGTGGATGAATGCCAGATCCATGTGGACATGGGTGTACTGCTTATGCGCCTGCTTAAGGCTCTGAGCCGTCTTCTTGAACCAGTCAATCTGGTTCTGCTTGATCCAGTCGTACCCATGCCACTTCTTTTCGTCAGGCGAGTAGGCGTGGGAGTCGAGCATGTACAGGGTCAGCGCCGAGTGGTCAGACTTGCCCCTAGCAAGAACCTCAACGTAGTAGTTGCCGACACCCTCAATGTCCTCCGGGCCAGCCTGCGCAAGTGAGTATGGCAGGGATTCGAGAATGGACATTTGCGCGGAGCGAGGTAGTGTGAGATCGTCATGGTTGCCAAAGATGGAGACGTAAGGAATCTTCATCTTGATGAGAATCGAAGCGATTTTGAAGATGGCCTGTTTTGTCAGCGCACGTCCATCTTTTGACCGCGGAGATGACCTACCGATTGCGCATCCGGCGCCGATTCACCATTCACTTGATCTCCGCTCAGCACAACCAAGTGTGGCTTCTCCTCGGTAAGGATCTTTTGCACAAAATCCAGCGTCCGGGGGTCAGCTTCGCACACATCACCGTTGTAGCCCTCGGGCTGGGCGTCGCGGCACTTTCCAACGCCAGTGCTGAGATGGAGGTCGGCGAGCTGGACAATCTTGAACTTGCCATTGTCGGCGATCCGTGGGTGCGGCTTCGTCGGCTCCTTTTGGCTTCCTCGTCGAACGGTGAGGTGGGAGACGGGAACGTCCTCGTTGAGGGGCAGGAGCAGGGGTGTACCCCCGGTAATCTCCCACCCGTTGCGCGCCTCGACGGCATCGTCGCCGAAGAGGACGTCGACGCCCGTGACGGCCTTCTTAGAGTCGCTGTCCTTCTGGTTCGAGGAGCGCTTCACCCACAAGCCGTAGGGACGGCTCTCCCACCGCTCGTCCTCCTCTCCCTTCTTGGCAGTTGTGGGGTCGAGTCTGCCGACGGAAACGTCCATAACGACCTTGTCTTCGGCGACGAGCTCCTCCTCCTTTTTGCGCGCAACGTGGACGTACGCGCTCGTCGTCCATGACTTGCCGAGATACAGATCCTTCTCGATACGGTGCCACTTGTTGATGTCGAGCTTGCAGGAGGAAAAGACGTTGAGAGAGGAACACTTTGTTATTGTGATGTCGGTGACGATCAGCCCATGGTGGTGCTGGGGCATGTAGTGGTGCATCGACTTGGGGAGGACTCGGAAGTTGCGGTCGAGGAAGACGACGACGATGAGGGTGACCAGCGTCACCGCGGTGAGCTGGACTATCGTGCGCACCTAAGGGAGGCAGGGCATCAGCGCGCGGGTCTCGGGCGACGGGCAGACGGGCAGACGGGCAGGACTTACTATGCGGCGCGTCATCTTGGGCGACACCGGGATTGTCGCAGAGAGTGGGAAGAGTAGTGGTGTTTGGGGGCGATGGCCGGTGGTGGCGGCGTAACGTAGAAAATGCGGGATGGTAAGGGGAACACGAACACGAACAATCGGCTCCGGCGAGCCTAATTCAAGCTACTGCTTAGGCCATATCATGGCCCACGGACTCGGTATACAAGAAATAAGAGTTGCAGATGGGGCGACTGAGCTTGTTCTCGGATCATGAACGACGACAGCTCAGCAGGGCGACAGGGGGGGCGGCAGAAAAGGAGCGAAAAAGGCACGATGGACGATTTCATGGACTCGGTCGATACAGGTCCAGTTTAGTGGGGCCAGCTGCCAGAATCTGGGGTAGCAACCTCACTTTTGCTCACTTTCACAGGTCAGGCCTGGCCCCGGGGGTCTTTGGGTCGCACCAGTGACTGGTCACTGCCCACTGAGGTTGGCGCAAGGTCCCTGAGTGAACCCGGAACCCAACCTTACCACGCCAGCTGTTTGCGCGCCTGGTGGAACGCGGGCTGACGGGTAGGGTCGACAGGTACGTACCGACCGCACATCCATCGATTAGGTTATCAAGGTTTGATTGGCTGGACGGTCGAGATGTGAGGCCAGGAGACACCACTAACCCCTCCCAGGCCACCGCACGTGCCTCCCTCCTTCACCCCTTCTCTCTCTCTAATGATTCAACACACCGTTTCCGTTCTGGTCCAACGCATTGTGTCTCTTCAAATGGCTTTGGAGAAACGGCCACCAAGCACACGGGCCAGAAGACGGGGCGACGGACGACGGCACGGCAGCATCCAGCATCGTCCTCCTTGACGGCAGCCGGGGCGTCTTCCATGTCGGTGGAGCAGCCCTGCCCGGCCGTCCGCCGTTCCATCTTGACAGCGTCACAGTCCCTCCACGCGATACACGTAAGCTCGAGACGTGGAGGAGTTGGTCTGATGAGAATAGACGGACTCCTGCAGTGCACATCAGGCAAGAACTGCTGCCCCGTTGACGCATTCCACACAGCCCGGCCGCGCGTCAATGGCCAATTGAGTTTGATTCGCAGCCATGCTCCCAGTTGATGGCAGTCTCGACGCACACGACGAGATGAAATACCGCTCATCATGTCGCCTCCCCTACGGATGACAGAAGCATAGACGGACCGGCGGGTCGATTAGGTTGAAGATCAGTTGGGGCTCTGCTGCTCGACGTCACACGGCGACTATGCGTGCGGCACAGCTTGAGTCAGTTTCGACGCGCCACGAGCCGAGCTGAAGTCGTGACAGCTGAGACTCGGGGCCAGTCGCAACATGAGTGTCTGCAGATGCGCGAACAAAGCCATCTCCATGCTTCATTTTCTCTTCCAAATGCTCTCGACATCACTCTATGCCTCTCGACGTCCAAGTTGAAGCTGGACATGTCTGACTGAAAACGTCCTCGCAGCTTGCCGAAACAAGACACGCTACAAGATGAAAACCCGCCGCAAGACACCCCCCGTAACGCAACAGCCAAACGTCCTTTGTCTCCTCTTCAACGGGAAGCCGCAGCTAATCCAAAGATAACCTCCATGGCCACTGTCTTTCCCATCGTCAATTCCATCAACAATTGCAGCAACAATTTGGCTCATGCAGGAACAGTGGCCCGTGCTCCTGCATTCTCGCTTAGCTGCGCGGTACGTACCGCCGACAGCTTTGGCAGGCGCGGGAAGGCGCACCTAGGCACCTCGTGCTACCGTCGCTGCTGCCAGCTCTGCTGTTGTCGTCCTGCGAACCAAACCAGCAACGACGCGCCTCACCTCAAAAATCGTCATAACCCCCGACGATCGTCAACCACCAGCCTCCCTCCACCGTTCCACTTCGTCATCATCAATCTCTTCCCATCTCCGCTTGCGCAATTATCCATCCGCTTGCGCAATAATAATTCTTACACATCTCGAATTATCCCATATCCCCCAAAAACCACACAGTCGCAAGCATGGCCACCGACTACAGCTCATTGAAGGTGCCCGAGCTCAAGAAGCTGCTCCAGGAGAGGAGCCTTCCCGCCACGGGCAACAAGCTTGACCTGGTCAACCGCCTGAAGGAGAACGACAAGGCATCTGCCTCCGCGCCAGGTACGTCGATGGAATGAATGCGCCTCCGACCCCAAACTGACCGTCGCAACCCCAGCCGCAGAGGAGGACGAGATCGACTATAGCGACGACGAGCCCGCCGCGCCTGCCAAGGCCGCCGAAGCACCCAAGCCGGCCGAGGAGGCCGCACCTGCCGCTGAGCCCGCCCCAGCCCCAGCTCCCGCTGCGGAGCCCGCTGCGCCAGCAACCACCGAGGCCGCTCCCGAGGCTGCGCCTGCCGCTGCCGAGACGACCACCGAAGAGAAGCCTGAGGAGGCCGCCGCGCCCAAGGAGAACTTCGCCCTCAACCTCGGCGCGACTGACGCCTCAGAAGAAGCTCGCAAGCGCGCCGAGCGTGCTAAGCGCTTCGGCATCGTCGAGGAGGACGACGACGACGCCAAGAAGAAGGCCGAACGCGCGAAGCGCTTCGGCGCCGATGCTGATGCTGCCAACACTTCCGCCCTCGACTCGGCCCTTCCCGAGAGACGCCCCAAGCGCGGCCGTCCCGAGCGCAGCGACGAGCAGCCCGGCCGTGACTCCAAGCGCCAGAGCACCGACGGTCGTGGACGCCGCGGCGGCAGGGGCAACAGACACGGTCGCCAGGGCGGCGGTCGTCAAGGTGGCGGCGGCGTTGAGAAGCAGCGCAGTGCTGCGGTTGACCCGGCCGAGAAGGCCCGGATGGAGGCCAGAGCCAAGCGCTTTGCTGCCTAGATGGAGTAAGACGGGTTGGCAGGGGGATTATGTATACTACTATGGTGGCGGAGCTGGAAGGCGTTTTCGTTCACGACGATGAACATGGAGACGCAAACGCAAAATTTGAGAAACGACAGGTCTTGGTCTACGCCGAACGAGACAGTGTGGTATTTGGCACCACGCGTCTACTTACCAGATATTTATACAGTAATGGAATAGAGCAAAAAGCTTTTTTGTATCCCAACTCGGTTTCGCATGGGTCGGTCGAATTGAAGTGGGCTGGCATCATTGAGATTCAATCGTGAACTTGAAAGCCTTGTTGCTATTCTGCGCAACAGGAAAAAGTCGTACGTTGCCTTGATGAGAGGAGGCGGAGTGTGGCAACCCCATGCTAACGGGATATTCGGCTCTCTCACAGATGAGATTGGCGATTGAATCCGTTTCGCGTCCCGAGGGCTGACTCTCTGGCAACAGCCTGATCGAGGACTCAATTGGATATTGATCACTCAGAAATACGAATCAGTTCGATGGCGTCTTATAAGACTACCTATCCCGTGAGTGGCTGGCTCTTCAACAATGAGAACGCCTGTCAAGGGTATTCGGCACCGTCGTTGAAGCCGTCCATCGACGCAATTCGGCACCCAACATGGACCCAGAAGCAACGGTAAGTTGGCATCTGGGCATGGATCGCCGTCCTTCCTTGTAGTCAGTCACTTGGCGGTTATTCATCCCAAAGAGCCGCCGCGACTTTCGAGACTGAGGCTATGTATTTCTGCAGTCTACGGCCTTTCGTTCTCCATCTTATCCGGGAGAGACCGATATGAATCCTACCAATCTATAACGCAGTCAGTGATTTTATTGATGAAATATACTATAAACTTCACCATTGTTATTTATATCCTAAGGCCACAAGGGCTCGCCACAATCCAGGGCCAATGGCCACGCGCTTGATGAAGCACATCTAGTTATCTCCCCGCAACATGTCCATTGCCGGCACATGGAATGTGGTTGCGGTCTTCGTGGACCCGATTTCGAAGTTCGCTTGGTTATAGTTCTCCGCAATCTGCGCAATCTTCCGCTTTTGGGTGGTAGCTCGTTCGTATGGTAATGGAACCTCGACGCAGTGACAGGCTGTACAGCACCTCCGCATCCGTCCTTCCCTCTCCTTCGCATATTCCAGCTTATTCGACATCTCATAATCACTATCCATAACTAATCAGACAAGCATGAGTTAACGATGTCTATGCAACCAAGCATGGCGCCAGGAAGTGCCAACTACCTGCCGTGACGAACTGTATGCACCATACCGACATGATCTGAGAAGAGGAGATCATCCCTGCGCATGGTCCAAGTTTAAATAAGCGCAAAGATGTCATTTGCAAGGGGTTTCGAAATGCCCTCGGAAGCCCTGTTGCCACTTTACGAGCCTCAGCTAGCGCATCTAAGGAGTGAGACAAAGCAAACTTACCAATATCCCACACAACCAATCAAAGGATCATCGCGAATTTCACACGTTACATGGCTGGGTTTGGCTGATACTCTCACGCATGCAACTCTGCCTCGACAAGATCATGAATCAAAACACAAGGCCACGTCACCTCTCGTCGTCTCCGTCCTTCAAAGGTATTGCCCCAAGCGTATTCATAGTCCATGTTCCTAATCAGACTTTATCTGCAGCGAAATATGGAAGTATGACTGAGGTTGATTCTGACATAGACTGCTGTCCGCCGAAGACTCTCCACCTCTAGCTCCGTTGAATCGCACTCGTCATCGTCCAATTGGTCGCTGAACGGGGAGACATAGACTTCAGGACACGTTGTTTTTATGGCGCCGAATATCAAAGCTAGCCTTGAAACCAGGCCCTTCACAGGGACCAGGTCTCGTCTCTGTACGAGTCTTTGCTCAAGATGAATGCAGCACTCACACATAAGCTGCGTACATCGGTGATGGACAAGCGCTAATATCTGGGTTAAATAATGACACGCCTTTCCAAATATCATCGTGATTCTAGTGCTGGCGCATTCTGTATTTGCCTTAGCTAATGATCTCCCGTTCGTTCTTCTCCAAGGGGGTTGTGGTGCACTGGCGCGTGCAATGTGTCTATAAAGTTCTCTATCGCCCGTCATCATGGGGATATCTCTGGTACTCTCACCACATAGCTAGAAGAGTGGCATCTATGTGAGTTTGAGATGGTGCT